GTGGGTAAACCCAGTGCCCTCACAGATGACTTTTTATAGTACCAGTGAAATAACTGACATGCTATGTAGAGAACAAGTATATTGAAGTATATGCAATTCGTAACACACACCATATTGTATTCCTGTAGATTAGCAGAGAAACAGCTGTCTCACAGATCTGAAACATTCTGGTGGTAGATCAGCACAATTTGGAACCTACACTGTAGTTTTACTCATTGATGTTTTCATTCTTACTCCCAATTTCCCCTCAGCACAAGTGCAGTAACAACCATTTGTCCATCTCCCGGCCCACAAGGGAAATGCAGACAGACAGGCAAAGTTAACCTGCACCCACCAGCATGCACCTGAACAAGAGTTGCCTACATTTGTGCTGCTGCTCCTGCGGTGCCCAGAAGAAGAGGAGAAAGACCTTAAATAGAAGACAGTATCAGAAGAAAAAAAAAAAAAAAAATAGCCAGACTGTTTCTTCCTCTGAATCAACAGTGAGTCACAACTCTGACAAACAGACTGGAGTCTGAAGCAGCACTGCACAGAAAAATTCCTCCCTTCAGTCTAGCCAATAAGAACCACTAAGCTAAGAAATAACCATGGGCAATAGCAGCTTTTCTGCCCAAAGATCAATTGCATTGCTAATTTCTTATTGTCATTGTATTGTCAAGTGCTACATAGAAATAAAGGGTAAATTTTCTCTTTATCAGATATTACCCAAACCTGTTCAAGTTCTCATCTTGACCGCAATGTCCCAAATTAGTATTTGTTAGTAAGGGGCCTCTACTACCAAGATAGATACTAGACTCCAAACAAGGATACATTCCTTCCCACCTCCAGCTTATGGCAGAGCTATTAGAGCGACTTTTGGCCACCCAAAATGGCATGCCCACCTTCAGGATATAATCCTAAACAAGGCCAAACCACACAAACCCTGTCTGTTTAGTATGGCCCTGAAATCAGCGGGAAAATCTATGAAGTCACTTCTAGATACTAAAAACAAGACAAAAAACCCTTATTCCTGCAGAATGAAGAGTGTTGGCACACAGAAAGCAGCTCTTCCTGAATAGGATGACTTAAAATTATGACAGAAAGTCCCTGCTACAGCTTATGTGAGAAACGTTTTAAATATCAGAGAATCAAGATGATTCTCTTCCTTTGTGCGCCTACATGAAAGGATTCCCCTCTTCTGAGTTTCCTAAAGCCTTAAATCAAAAACATCCTTAAAAAAAAGTTAGGCAAAAGCAAAGAAGATGAAGGCAAGAGGAAATATAAGCAACTCCCTCTAAGAAACAATGTAAAATCTGATAAAAGGTGCCGATTCAGAATGCTTCATTATTTTTACTTGGACCATTCTTCAGAGAATGCTGTCTCTTCTGCCGGGGAGCCATTATGGGAACGTCAGTTGTTGAATGAATGTACACAGCATCACCCAAGTCTAAAAGCAAGCCCAGACTCCAAAATGCACCATTTCTACCTGCTGCTTGGACATCTTGTCCAGGGCATGCCATCTCCCTGCTGCAGAATTCACCTCCAAAGCTGATTGTTTGCTACAAGCTACTGAACAGAATTTCCCATGCGGGTTATTACTCACCTCACCCTGACGTGTGACAAAACTCGCAAGAGGAACTGAGCTTTACTGACTGTGTAAAATCTGTCGTAATGAAAGTCATATATGGTTGCATCCTTCCTACACCTAACCTACACCAAGATGCAAAAAAGTCAAAGAAGCAGGATATGCAGTCTTGTCAGTTCTTGGGACTTTATTGCAAGCCTTTTAATTATGGAAAAGATCTCAAAATCTGGTGATAATGCATACTCACTTACAAGCAACTGGTCTCTGAACTATCAGAATTGTACTGAAGTACCTGCCATAATACACTGAGATAACTTTGGCATTTCTCTTCCCCTCCTATGCAATACATAATTACAAAGATCTTATCTAATAGTCTTAATAGTGTATTAGCAATATTATAGCATTATTTAATTAGTAGTCTAGCAGGATATGTCTGCAGTAAAGCCCACGGGATAAGTACTAGGACAGTTATTCCAATATGCAAGCAACAGCTGTGAGCAAGTTGCCCCATTACTGCTTGGTCTGCCTGCTTCTTTGCTTTGTTTGAGAGGACACAGGCAAGCAGTCACCCTCAGTGCTGGAGGCTGGGCAGTTGTATTATTCAGGGCAGGAGAGTTGTGGGCACATTTTCATTACAGCCAGGATTTCTTAGGAAAATAAAGTCTACTCGTGTACTTTGTAGGCCTTACCTCCCTTCTACAGCCCTGAGGTTCTTTTCTCTAGGACATGGAGTTCTGCCTATCTCCTTCAGAAACTCCTCCTGTTTCTGAGAGCACTGGCGGTTGGGGCAGAGCAAGCTCCGCAGTCTGACTATGCCTCCTTGACTCACTCATCCTTCACCATGCAATTCCACGTAGCATCTGGAAACAAAGAGCATGTTATCTAGCGTAGCTGTGCAATCAGCCATTCCATAACCCTCAGTTTGGTGGCTTCCACCAGATCACCATGCCACTTCCCAGCCCTTCACTAATAGGTCAAAGCTGATGTATTTGAAGCATTACTGCAACAATTTCAGCTTTCCGAGAAGATCCTGGGGAGGCTGATGCTGGTACATGCCCTAAGGGAGCTCCGGTTTCACTCAACTTCTTGCTTTTGTGCAGGCTGCTATTCTATTATTCCACCTTCACACAGAGGTCTCCCGAAGGCACTCATGTTGGCAGTCCACGTAAATCACTGACAACAGCAATACTGTTGAAGCAAAGAGCCAAATGCTTCCTGGGAATAAGTGACCCATTTTGGAAAAGCACATTTCATAGCAGCGGAGATAGGAAGCCTGGGGAAACACTCTGCTATTAACAACTGTACTAAAATAAGCCTCCTCTCTCAATTTTGTAACAATTGTTTTAATAAGTTTTTTGGCAAGAGGCTGGAATAAATGATCATCCCTTTGCTCTCGTGCCAATTGCATTAACTCCTACGCCCAGCGTCACTCAGACAATTGGGTCACAACAGCTGTTCTCACTTCACGCACCCAAGTTTGAGCTGCAGTTGGAAATTTTAGACATTTTTCTAAGACAGCTTCTCAGCAGCCTGAAGTTGCTTCAAATAAATGATCCAGAAATGAGGACAAATTTATGCTAAGATGTCTTCCCCCAATTAACCTGAAGTCAAAATTTATTTCTGCAGTAAAATAACAGCTTGTTTTCCCATCCTGTATCACAATGTTTACTGCATACTTAGGCTGAGAAAAACTGATGTATAACTGGGAAACAGCCTGAGGATTCATCTGTCCCAACTGGTCATCCAGACAGGGCAAATAAAAATAAACTGTGGCCCATGTGAAATATAAACCTTTATTTAGGGGCAAGAGAGTGAGTACAGAATGATGAGATCAGTTTTTTCCATCCCACAAGTACAACATTTTCCAGCTTGGGAGAACGAGCCTGAGGACAGGCAAGAGCTTTCAGCATATATATTTTGAAAATCCCAATCTTCAGTCTGATTAATAATGCACTTGCACTTGGCAGCCTGAAAATTTCACCTCTAAAAATCAGCTTTAGAGAACTGGCAGCCAAAAGCACAATTTCAGCATCTAGCGATATCTGCAGATAAGCCTTTGGGAGAACACTCAAGCCAAACCCAGACACAACTGCACACTGTCCAGGCTGCCTTAGCTACTCCCTTTCAGCTCAGCTGCCTCAACTCCGCGTGAACACTTGCCTGAATAGATTCTCATTTTGCCAACAGTGAGTGATGATTTTGCCAGTTAACTCCCACCACCGCAACTTCCACCATCTCTTGTTATTTGAGAAAATAAAACTGCAGCAGCTCTTCGAAGACTTTTCAGGAAACACTCAGATAAACCAGACAGTGTTCCCAGTTCATACTGAGAAAGATCACTGGGAGCTGTCAGTCCAGTTCCTGCCTACACACCATCCCTACAGCTCTACTACAGCAGCACAAACACACAGTTAGGAAAGTGACTGCTCATAGCTAAAGAGCTAAGAAGTCCAGACCATCCCAGTGAACCTGTTTTTGATACGGAAACATTAACCAGCAGCTTAACTGACAAAGAATAAAGGCATCAGCCTCCAAATGCAGAATTTTAACTTGTTATTTGGATAAGGATGGAGTTACTATGATAAAGGCATGGGTCATGCTTTGACACACTTTCACTTTCTTATTTATAACCGTTAGACTGAATTATGAAGACCTCATCAGAAACAGAGGAAATGCTACAAGATAAAAGGCTGCCGATGTCCTGAGCTATAAGAAGGTTACAGGAAGCCCCAAGCTGTTCCAAATGAAAGGGAGGCCATGAATTAGGAAGTACTATTGGCACATCAGAAGTCCAAATGCCAGTAGCAGATTTAAGCTCTTTTTTACCCCCCTACACCACATTTTAATATTTGCATCTTACAGTAAATCACAGTATTATCTCCTCTCTTATATCTAGCTTGCTTGTTTCATGGTACAATGGGATTTAATTTCTACTCAAGAAAGCTTCTGGAGCAATGCCTAGTTTGCAAAATAACATCTCACAAGGAACATATATTGACTGTAATTAATTCCCATGGATGGAGAGTCTAATTAACAAGATTTCAAGTAATAACTCAGTTGGATTTAATCCATGAAGTGAACTGGCAACATGCACCAGGAAAGAGGCAGAGGGTGCGAGGATATATGTGGGGAAGAAATCACACACGACAGGCAAAAGGACACATTCAAAGTGGTTCCCAGCCACTCTCAGCCCTGGATCTTGTCTGTTTTCCATCACCCCGGTGGGTTTCATTTCTGCTCCCTTGTGCACGCTATTTCCTGCATACACAACACAAAATTACCTTGGCTATTTCAGTTTTCAGCTCAAAGATTAATTTGCCCAACTCTCATGCACCATTCTTCTTAACAAGAGCACACTTCTGCAAGTTGTGCATTTCACTGCCATTGGACGTCCTTGTGCATCTAATCTAGCAACAGAACATGAAAGGGAAGAAGGTTCTCAGTAACACCATCTTTATTGCCAAGTTCCATTTACAAAGAAAGGTGTTTTGTTCACTCTTGTCCAGGTTTTCAATAGCCAGGACATGATCAGTGCCAGCAAATACAGACTCAGCTTAGAAATCTGGATTTCAAAGATATACAGCAATACTTTCTAAGTTCAGTCCCCTCCCACTTATATACATTTTTATTTAAATTAACATAAAATATCATCACACTTACTCCAAATGTATAACATAACTTACATTAAATAATACTTATTGCCTCTAGAAAAGACATTTCGGAATCCCATTCACCTTGTGTTTAGACTTCTTTCCATTTAAATGTAGAAGTGCACATTCAGGACATTTTTTTTTAGTGAAGCACATTTCAGACATTTTTGAAATATATTTCATAGGAGGACAGAATTTCATGTTCATTAAATGCTTTAGTATACAAAGCCCAGATACAATCATTCTTCTAGAAAAATACATTTCCCTTTGCACCTGAAACAATCCAACTTGCAAAACAGCTCAAAAGGAAGCAAAAAGTTTGCAACAAAACATCAACACACATTCACAAGTGGAGATGCCTAAAGCCAGTCCCTAAAGCCGAAAATGCTCCCAGCAGGTCCCCTAGAGAAGTAACCATCTGTTCTTCAGCGCTGCCCAGGTAAAACAAAGCTCCTAGAAATCCTAACAGTCCATAAATGTAGAAGCTTGAAGCTATTCTCACTCCTCTTCAAAAACTATCCTTACTTACTGTAAGAACTGTGGCAGAAGTATTTAAATACATTCCTGCACACTCAGACTCTCATCTCATAGAGACCTGAGTATCAGATTGCTGTTACCACGTCTTAAGCCTATTTTACACCAGGTATGAGTGTCCATGGCCAAAAGATGACAAAAAAAATCTTGATTATTTTAAGATCACAACATTAAAAAAATCCTGAGAACACCATATACTAAGCTGAGCTTTAACTCTAACCTTTGTCATCAATAAGTATTCCTTGTCATTACTTAGTTAAGCCCTTTTTAAATAAACACGCTCCACACATTCATTTATGCTCAAGAGACAGTCACAACAATGACTCAAGTTTCCTTCCATATTCATTAAGAAGCACTGACTTCAAGTTAGCCAAACAAAACACATACTGCCACAGTGCATGTTTATTAGACATGCAACACTTAGCTTTACATTTGCAATACATTAGCAAACATAACACACAATTTAAAACATCCCGCAAAAGAAATCAAGTTTGAGCAATGTGCACATCCTTAAAAATTCTGGGAGACCAAAATAGGGAAAATTTTGTACAAATGTGATATAAAAATATTTTTCCATATGAAATAACCTTCTGTTTGAGACTCAGTCCAGAACTTCATGTCCCACATTTCTATTGCTGCTCAAAAATTCCAGAACAGCAGAAAAAAAACACAAGTATTCCCCCCCTCCCCACCTCCTTAGACAGCTCTACCCCAGCAGGCTCTGCTTAGATCACCATCTGCTTTGCTGGAGCTGAGAGGAGACAGAGTTGTTAAGTATGTTTGTAATTTGTAATTCATGATGCAGACATGTAGGAAAGATCAGAGCACCAGAGCACAAAGCACAGGAAATCACTCCAAAAACTCAGAGATAATGGAAGAGCAGTGCCCAGGAGAACGATGCCCTGCAGTCAGCAAAGAGCGACAGCAACAGTTCAGAACTTCCCAAACGTATCAGGTGCCTATGGCCAGGATGCCTGAAAATGGGTAGGAACCTTAAGGAGAGTTACCGCTTTTTAGGGAAAATGCCCAGATCTCTATGATGCCTTGATTTCATGCCTCTTCCTGAATCTCTCGCTCAACCCTAAGACTATAAGGTGAAGTTTTCCAGGTGACACCTGTTAGCACAATGTTCTTTTACGAGCAAATCTCCACATAGCTCTACCTGCTTAGTTGAGCTGGATAGCAAGGACAGTGCCTGAATTCTTAACATGACTTTTTTTTCTTTTGCAAGAGTGCTCATTAGGCTATTTTGTGTTTACCTCTAACACCTGTGCAGCAAAAGAGTGACCAATAACACCAGAGCGCCAACAGCACCATGCGATTCAAGTCCTGCGTTCACTTTCACAAAGTGACTTCACATTTACACAAAGCTCAACCTGTTTGTCTTACAGCTTCCCCATGGCTTCAAGCAGAGAATTTTATGTTTCATTTACTTCAGGAGAAAAAGAAACCGATTTCCTGCTAGCAAAATGACCCTCAGCTGCGTGGCAATTATTGAGCTCTGTACTCAGTAAGCACCTGAGGCTCCTTGCTGTAGCGTGACAATTACAGCTACTCATGTCTTACTGCTTAATAAGAAAAAAGTCACAGTAACTTCAAGCCTAACGATTGCTGATGCTGCCATAGACTATTTTAAGCATTGATTTTTAAAATTTTACACAGAAGAATCCTTCAAATCCACAGAAAAACATTATTTCCCCCTGTATTATGTCAACATGGGACAAAGGGTTTCTATGAATAACTGGACATTGACTCAAACTCTGATTACCAACTAATGTGGAGTCCTAAATTCTAGAGAAGGAAGAAGGGTTTTAAAGTGCTGTATGTCCATACTTCAAGAATATTTCAGAAGAGTAAATCAATTCTGGAAGATATTACTGATTTTTTTTCTCAACAAATGACTTTACAGCACAGCTGCAAGTTTCTCTACAGTAAAGAGCATTATGGAGTTTCTTTAACAAGTGTAATTTTATAAGGTCAGATTAATTTAAGGAACAGAAGCCAGAATTTTAGTTCATCATGAATTCACAGAATCACTTTATGAGTGAGCTGTGAAGGATGAGCTCACTCTTTACAGCATAATTCATGACTACGCACAAAATACAGCCTCCAGTATTAATACGTATGACTGTACTTCTAGTAAATTTGTTTTAACCCACACAGCTTGTGAAAAACAGGGCAGAAAGCTAAATGTTAGGTTTCTTCCTATATCCAAGAATTTCAGATTCTTGTAAATATCCAAGAAAGAAATTATTGTACACAGGTTTATACTACAAACATCACCCACTAGTAAGGCAGACACTGGAACTGAGCACTCCTTCACCACACGCATGCTGCCACTGTTCTGTTCACAAAGGAAACGCTGGAGCCCTGTCCATTGCTGCCCACCGTGCTACAGAACAGCAACAGGACCTGCAAGAGGCTGTGACACTAAGCAACTGCTATCCTGGTAAAACTCAATACAGTGAGACACAGATCACAACACAAAGCAACATGCAGCAGGCCTTGGTGTTTTTGGTGTCTCTTCTCAAAAGGAAAGGACTATTAGAGATGTTTTATATTACCAGAATATGGTTCAAGATAGGCACAGCCTCTACAAAACACACCGAGCATTTACCACCTCACAACATATCAGCATTTTTCTCATTTTCTCCCCCCCTTTGGCCTGCAGTATTGCACTGAAAGAGCAAGAATGGACAGTAGTTCAGCTGCTGCCCTCATTTGCAACTTGGTGTTTGGATTTGGTTAAACAGAGTGATGCTACACTGACTCACATCAACTTTTGTTTTAGAAGAAGGTGTATTTGTGGCTGATGTGCTAATGCTTTCTTGGTCGAGTTTCCTTTTTACAGTGAAATGAGGATAAGGAAACAGCCTTTGAGTTTTTCTGATAAGAGACAGATATGATACTCTTCAAGGAATTGTAGATTAGTAACAACACAGCTCACGGAGATAAGATTGCCAGATGACGTACTGCAGCATCTCCAGAGCCTGTAATGCAGCATGAAGTGCAGTCAAACTGTACACACATAACAGTACCTCAGTTGCCTACTGAGAGCTGCACAGGAAACACCTGGTTGTGGGATTGAACCACCACTCCAAGGCAATGAAAAGCACAAAGTCACCTTTCTTTCATCACCATTTCTTGCACAGTGTGGCTCAAGGGTGAGATTATGCATGCCTGTTAAAAGTCCCTCTGTGAATGGCCCTAATCTTGCTAGACCTAAATTTTAAATTAGATAAATAAAGATCAAGGTTTTCCTGTCTAGAATTAATACTATTTAGGGGAACTCAGCCCGCACAGTGGCATTTTCTGTAATCCAGGTCAAGAGTTAAGGTTAACAGCTAACATAAAATGCTTTCCAATTAAGGCATCATTTTTTATAATGATCTTTAGAGTATTACTGGGGCCACAGTGTAATGCTGCAACATGGTGGAGGAAGTCTAGACTGCAGGAAATTCAGCTAATAAAAATTTATTTATGTGGTCCTTCTGCCCAAATTGCTACTTGTTCAGATACATGTACATTAGCCACAACAGTGACTGCAGTATAAACTTACCCTAAGCACATGGAAAAAAGCTAAACCCAAAATCATGGCCTCCTACTCCAGCAGCAAGGCCAAATTCTCACCACCATACACCCATACCAGTGTTAAGAGCACCTAATTCTCTCATTTAATTTTAGATTTTGTGCCATTCTGGAATGGTCGGAATATTTGGTAACTCAATTTGAGACAAAATAGAAGCCACAGAAAATTAGAAATCAATAAAACTGCTTGCAAAAGCTAATAAGGGAGTTAAAAAGATGCTGTTTTTCAATAGCAGGCACCTTATATACATGTTTTACACGAAGGAAAAGATTGAAAAGCAAGTCAAGATACACTCGTGGATTATTAGATCTCATAAATGTAACACATAAATCAAGTGCTCTACCTGACAGCAAGGAAGAGATACATTAAGATGGGAAAGTAGGCAAGGCAAGAACTTTTCAGATTCACCTATTTGATAAGAAATCAATGTTAGTAGAGGCAGAACCAGGAAACTGATTGCACTGATGATGGAAATCACAACAGCAAGTTTACAGTAGACTTCAATGTTTGACAGCACTCAGTGTAATACACAGATCAGCATTGACACTTGGCTCTTTTTTTCTACCAGCTTAGCTTACTACGTATGGAAATTGATCAGAAAGCTTAAATTTACCATTCACAGTAAATTACGCATAAAAATCAGCAAAGAGCATTCCAAACTTTAATTCACATTTCTTCACTGCTTACTGTCAAATCAGATTCAAGATCTATGAGGCAAAGTAAGGCAAACAAACTCGATTGCTTTTGTGCTGTAATTTCTTTTGGTGATACTTTAAAACAGGGAAAAAAAACAACACCAACAATAGCTTTCTCTTTCATTTTCAGACTTGAAAAGAAATTACTAGAACTATTCCCATGGGAAGATGAGAAACAAACAGACAAATAATAAAAAAAAACACAAAAAAACAACAAAACCCAAAGACACTAACAAGAAAGAGCTCCAATAACAAAACCCCCCAAACCTTTTAAGAATAAAAGTGCCTCTGTCTGCTTCTAGCTGTTCTTCAGTAGAAGGGGTATCATCATACCATCATTCCTCAGAGGTGTAGCAATTTGACTGTCAGAAGTGAGCAAACAAGCAGTAGATTTTAAAATATTTCTTATCTTTGTAGCTAGTTAAGCAAAGACTAAAAATGTTTCAAAAATGTCTTGCAATCATATGACTAAGCAATTCTCATATTAAGTTTCAGAGTTTTACCTTATGAAAAAAATATTTTTAGATGCATCTTGCTTTGAATCAGACTTTGAAATAAATATTACACATGGGAAACAAAGCACTGAACCTTGGAGTCCTGTGAACACAACACGGAAAGGGGACGAGCCTGCTGGTATCATAGAGGCCTCCAAAAGCTGAACGAGATCAGAATAAAAAACAATGAAACAAATGGAAATGGAATCTTTGTACTATAAAGTACTTTATACTATTGTTCCTGGTGAACAATATGCCTCCAGTTTCAAAGAAGTAGCAATTCAACATCTTGAAGCCAGGTATCCAAAAATGTCTTCGCTTTGCCTTAGCACTGTAGGTCTTTGACTATAAGGTTACTGCAGCTGGATCTTTATTTGATAATAGGAAGAAAGTAGGTGCTCTTGTACAACAGAAATGGCTAGGGAAATGTCCAATCCAGTTTCTTTTCTTCCCCTGGTTTAAATATGCCAAACATCTGATGCTTATTCTAAAAGCTGCCCACATTCTTTCATCGCTGGGCCTCTTCTTGCAGACCAGGTGTCTCTGATGCTGCAGGAAGTATCTTGTGCTCCCAAAGAAACAAAAATACAATGAAGAATTTGGTTAATTTGCATCACTGTTTATCACAGTCTGTGGGTAGACTTAGTCAGAACACTCGTCTTCTATCTCTTTTACCTTGCTAACTTCAAGCTCAGACTGCAAAGATGGCTGAGGAATGCAGCTGAACGTACGAATACTGTGCGAATCAACCGGTGGGACCAGTGTAAGCGACTCTACACTTAGTGCATCCGTATTGTCATCTGATATTAATGATATTGTGGGCTGCTGTGCAGGAATCAGGCTAGGGGACAGGTTTGCTGTTTCTATGTCACTGTTTTTTACAGCACTCTTGCTAGACTTTGAGACAGCTGAAAGAGTTTCATCAGTCAACGTCATCTGACCAGAAACAGTTGTGCGGGGCTGCTCGGGAGCTGGAGAGTCATCTATTAAAGAAAACATCAAGAAAGAATCAATATTAGATTCAACTTAGCATGTACATCATTCATTAAGCCAAAGAGCATACTGTACTTCATGAATATTTAAGAATACCTGGGTGGAAAATGTAGTGCTATGAAGCACTGTGCTTAAAAATTTGCTTTTTAGTAATTAGAAACAACATGTGAAATATGGCACGATATCAAATGCCAGCACTAAACTGTTCACATCAGAAACCAGAACATTCACACATCTTATACTATACAGCAATACGGCAAATATTCCTAAAGAGAGGAAACAGAAGGGAAGAGTAAGAAAGCCTCCCCAGACTTTAGCACAGTCTAAACAAAATTAAGTGCCCCATACCTGGAAGCTCTTCAGAATTAGTAAAGAACCCTGTATAACCAATCTGCTCAAGAGGACACCTATTTATTGTTTTAAAAACAAAGATTTGGAAGTTGTTCACTCATTCCATTCTCTAGATTCAGTTTAAAATGACATCTCAGTCATAGAAACTACAACTATGAAAGGACAAAAAGGAGAATTATGTGCTTATGGTAATGAAGGTGCCACAAAATAAGCCCGTTTTTATGTAGGCTTTTAAATGAAATTTTGTGCTCATAGCTGGAGCTTGCAACAGGGATAAAACTGGGGATGAGCCATTATATACTACAGAAAACAGATATGCTGCTGGCACTTCCTTCACAATGAAATAAAACATTTACTTGTCTTGTCCTTTCATTTTTTTCCCTTAAAATCCTGCTAACCAACAAGTAAGCTGCTCATTTGGCACAGATGGACAGCAAATGTACCAGATCAGGGGGTACAGCCTTGTATGAGCGAGTATGCCCACAAATTTATCTTCTTTTCAGACTAGTAATAGATGCCATTAAAGTAACAGGTATCCAGCTTCAAGACAGACCATTTAGAGCTCGTGCTAAAAAACAGCATGTGTTCAAGTGTACAGGCATCTGCAGAAAAGGCTACAAGGCAGTGTAGTGTGAATACAGAGACCAGGAATTGAACTCTGGTTTAAATACACAGTAACCTTAAAATATTTCACTTTCAATGTAATTCCAATTATTTCTGTAAAAATAAAACAGAAAATGTGAACATAAGGGAGAAAAAAAATACAAACAAAAAACACATCAAAAAAGAAAAACAAAGCTTAGAATGGAATGAGCATCAGTAAGACATCAGTGAGACAGCAGTAAAAGACAGTTTTGTTGGTTGTTATTATTATTATGTTTATTATTTTACCTTTCCCCAAACAAAGGTGCACTCTCACTTCGAAAATCATTCAATTTTACTTTTTCCTGAATCTGTAGCTAAAGCTTCTTGCTTTAAGGAAAACAAAATTTAGATTTAAAAGGACAGTCTTTGAAACAAAAAGGCCATTACTACTTATTTTTAAAAGTAAGGAGAAATTCAAGTAACTCTGCAGATTATTCTTCTTAGGTGTCACGAAGCTTTAGACAAAACTTGGCGGCTGATAACAGAAGTGATGCAACGCTTGCATGGAAAATGAATTGCTAAGAACTTTAAAATCAGGCAACAATTCATTCCTCTGAATTCCAAAATAAATGCTAACACTTCAGTGTTAAAAAAAATACAGTCTCTTTGCAGTGGTTTTATCTCCTAAGCTCACAAAACCTTAAAAAAAAATTAAACACTTCGCCAAGACTTTTTTTTAAATAGTAAGAATTCACCAAGATTCAAGCAGCAGCCTGAGAAACTCGGGTAAATAAAGTACTGTCAGCCAGTGGTGTTCTGCTCAGGAATGGCATAATGTGTCAGGTCTCTACTGCTGCTATTTCACTCCTGGTTCTGGAGTTTCACTTCTTATACATTCAGGCCCCCTCTCCCGAGAAAATATCAGTGCATTTCCATATAACTTTAATTCACTGAAAAGCTGACATTTCATTACACTACACTGTCCCTAATCCTTTCACACAGGATCTGAATGACTGAAGTGAATCCCTTCTTACTATAAGAAAAAAAACATTTAGAAAAAACTTCATTAGAAAATAATCTGGAGTCAAAATCCACCATATTTTCTATTTGAAGGTCCTACAGTGCATTCAGCAAAAAGACAAAGAGATGGTATCAAGAAATGTAAGCAGAACAAACTCAGTGTCTAGCATCTCATAAGCAGAAAAGACAAAAGCAGAGCTCTTCTGTGCTTTTTGGGGAGGGTTTTATTTATTATTGATAGCAGTAAGTCTCTCCCCTCTACTTTCCATCTTCCATTAGTCGCTGTCAGAACGTCGCTCCTGTCACTGCACTGAAGGGCAGCAGTGAGAGCATCCCTGCCAGAATGCCCAGAGAGCAGCCAGCCACCACTTAGTCCTCACAGGGGCAGGGAGTAAATATCAGTGCAGAACGAGAGGGGAAAAAAAAAAAGAGAAAAAGAAGTTTTAACCTTCTGGAAAAGGCCAACAGCTCTGGGTGCTATTTTGCAACACATTATCTCTTCTGGAATGATTGGTATCTGAAAACCAACCCTTCAGTCACAGCTTTAACAGCCAGAGACCACTGCCTGCCAGACTGGCACCTGCATCCTCAGGACTGAGCACTCAGATCCACTGGGGCTTCAGGTGGGCACAGAGCTTTGTGTGTTCAGCATCATTATTACAATCTCCCAAATGTTTTGGATGCAGGAATAGAAAAAAAAAAAAAAAAATCAGAGTGTTGATCAATTGGAAAAAAATATATCCTCCAACTGGAAAAAAAAATTATGAACAGATTATTACAAGAATGACTGTCTTTAAAAACTAGATAATTAGCAAGCTATTGATTCAGGGGTATCAAGGCACCCAGTCTGCTATATGTATATATATCTGCTATATATCCCTACTCACTATCTGTAACTTACATCTTCACTGCATACAGTAATACTGAGTAACTTTCAAAAAGACCCAACTTCTCAAATTTGGTCCCAGTTTACTTTTGACTTTTGGATAGAAAGAGCAAAAATAATGACAATTGTCATTTTTACCTGAATAAAATCTGGTCTCTGAAACATACTCTTCAACGTGACAAAGTTACCACCCAATATGGGAAAAATGCCTATTTACCTCTCCCCAGCTCACGTGTTCTAACAGAAGTGTTCTGACAAAAAAATGTCAGGTTTGAATTCGAGTTCCAAACAAGATTCAAAACCATGGTGTAACTTTGCAAAGCATTGGGTAACACCAGCTGTCCACAGCTGTGAAGGATTCAGCACCCTCAGATTTTGTTCAGCACTTCTATAGTACTACCAAGGTTATCATTACAGAAACAAAACACTTCTGTTATATCATCTTATGCTATAATGGTTATTAGGGAAAAAAGATAGAAGAGAATAGAAAAAGGTAAGAATGAATATAAACTACAGAAAAGCACCTTAAACTGTACAGCTATATACAATAAAAGGATAAACAAAAATATAAATAACAGTACATTAAGTAAAAAGACACAAAGCAAGTTTAATAAATGAAAAATGGTATTTCTATAATATTAACGGAGTAAAATATTTTTATGCCATGGTGGTGAAAAAAGAAATTAATTAGACTCAACACAGGTTACAGAACTGAGAACCAGTCTGAAGCCTACTTCCATCCTTTCTGTTTATGCTTCCCCTCCCCAATCCTTCAGGCAGACAAGCAGTCCATAAATCCATTTGCCTGAGTCTGATGATAAAAAGAAGCAAGTTTGTACCATCACAGTCTGAGGATAATCTTATACTGAGTGTTGTCTCTGTTTTACCTGAGTTATAAATTTCTTGCTGCTAGCAAATACCTGCGTTACTGTCCATTCTGGACCCTGTGCTAAATTCCACTACAGCCATGGCTGCCCCTGTGCAAATGAAGACATGGCTGCTTTGAAGCTGGAAGTTTGATAGATCATTTTGTGGTATGCAGAATTGCAGTTTCTGGGGAGAGAGCCATGAAATACAGGAGAAACTGTAGGTAAGACTTTCAGAAACAGCTGAAATCCAGAAATTGCGGCACAATTCTCCCCCAAAATCAGTACAGTCAAATATTAATGATGCTTTCTTCAATTTCCTACCTCACTGCCACTACTGCAAGCATGGAAACCAAGCATGCTCTATTAACTTTATGGGCTTTTGAAATCTTATGGAGGAACCTGCCTGAATGGATATTGCGTGAGTTTCGGTTGCAGCTGCTGCTTGAAGACCTAAACCCAGTGTCCACCGTGACTGTCAGCCTCCGACAGACTAAACACCCGCCGTCGTCCTTTCCTGCCAGACCTTACTAGAGGAAAACACAGCGATATATCATACCAAGGCTGTAACAGTGAGACAAGAAAGGAAACTGGAATGAAGACAAAGGATAAATGTTAGAGCAGCAACAAGATTAAAAGTGACGAGGACGCATCCGTAACTGCTGGTATCTCCAACACAACTTGAGACCTCAACGAGTCTTTTTAAGTTTGGGAAACACTTCTGCAGCTAGAAGTAGTCATTCTTTAGAAATAATGAGTGAAGTTACTGTTTCCTTACCTATCTGGAAACATACATTATGCAGTTAGGACTACCTGAGGTCTGACAGCATTACACGGAGGCAATACCGGTAGGCTTTTTCATCACAAACTACATACGTGCTACAAAACCTTGAGGAAAGCTATCTATTACAAATTCTAGTAATACAGCATTATTTGGATTCCCACTGGCAATAAATTACATGAGGTGCCCTACAGCACAGATGATAATACTTCAGCCCACTCAGTGCTACTGTTCTAAGAAGTGACACTGAAGTATTATACTTGGATTAAAACAAAGGCAAATACAGCACTTTAAAAGATAGCAGCAGTTAAGATGATGATGCTTGGTGCATAGAAAGCTTCTGAGTAAGAAACTTTCTAGAAACAAAAAACTAGTTACTTGCCTAATTAGAAAATTACTAGCATTGGAGAACAGATCATACCACGTTTATATTACTGATCATAAAAGAAATAGACGGATGGTTTCAGTAAGACAGCAGGCACTGCTCTCACAGGCTCTCCATCCTTGATCAAGCATCCTCTACTTGGAATACGTAAGTTTTATTTTACAGATGGTATCCAACATTCTCTGCAACAGGGGACATGATTTTCATACTTATTTTAGACCATTTACCATTAATATCTGCCAGAAGCATGAAATAAGACTTCAGTGGCATAGAAGATCATTGCCTCCTGGAGTCCTCAATAACCACTGCTCCAATGTAAACATTTTCTTAAGTGTTGAAGCCAAATGAATTTTAAAGCTTTAAGCAACTCAAAAAGTGATAAAATACAACACTCATGGCATTACATACCTATAACTCTAGAAGACTGCTAACTTACAGTAACAGCTTCTTTATCTTAATCCTTGGCTTATATAAAAATAAGCACTTCAGAGAAGTTCACGGTTCCAGCAAATGCAGCCAAGAAGAGACTGTATTCTAAGTTCAGAAATTTAATGATAAAAATCTGCCTAGCAAGAGCGTTTTTACTGTAGGCAGAGCAGCACTTCAGATGGACATGCTCATTTTAAAAAGACTGTAAATATGAAGAAAAACACCTAATAGAGCATTTGCAGAATCTGCTGTACGTTTTCTATCTTGCCATGGGCTACTCTTTCTTTAAGGGATGGACTCTGCTTTTTCAGTTTTAAGGAACAGGGCTAAGCTTAATGCCCAGATACTGTAAATGCAGGAGCTTCTGGACTTTAAGAAAAAAAAAATCTATGCCACAGAGTACTGTGACAATGGTTGGTAAACTCAGGAATTATACAAGCTTCTTTTGCATCCGATAAAGTAGTTAATGCAACTGCTGTTCTCTTCCATTAAGTGAAATGTACTCAATCAAATGATTCTGCGTAAGTTCAGTTAATCTTCCTTCTCACAGTATGATACTGTTTGATGCATGATGGAGCAAGGAAAACATTTTTTACAAAATAAAAGACCCATGATTTTCTGTGATACATTTTCAAAGGCTTTTTTTTTTTTTTTTAATTGCTTACCTGTTAATACATAATCTTGTAACATTTGTATTTGTCAACTAACAAATGCGCAACTTGTCTTTATTTTGTTCTCATCTATCAATATTCTATGTAAAATTCAGTGTATTATGCTCTAAATCTTAATATCTGTGTAGATTACAAGTACCAAATTTTGAACACCTTAAATCTGTCAACAAACAATCTTGGGATGGCACGATCTCAAATTTACAGCAGAAACAGCTGATGTTGTTCTTATGATTGTTGAGGTGATTTTCTTGAAATGCACATATTCATCTCTTTTTTTTGGTTAGTTGACCTTCTTGTTTGAAGCTCCTGAGCAACCTTGCATGTTCTCCATGGTCAACAACCCAATCAGCTGGTACAAAAAACTTGAGAGCAGAGAAAGAACACGTTTGTGTGCATTTTGAATGGAATGGGAAACGAGAAGGACTCTAACATGACAGATTGCAGCAGCACTCAAATGCTACCTTGGAGCATAAAGCAGATCTTAGCAACTTCTTGCTGCTAATTAGCTACTTGCTACTTCCTGTTTGAAGGCCTGAAGCAAAAACTCCCTTAAGTCCCATGCAGAATTGATATGTGAGCCTCAGCACCAACTGTTCATCAACCCATTGCTCTGAATTAACTAACTACCTGCGTACATACAGTAACTGTCTTCTTTGTTACTGCCCTCTGAGTTAGCAGAACAAAATTCATGAGCTTTGTTCAGAGTTCATCCCTGCAGTACATCATTGCAAGTTGATGACTTGGTGCTGAAGCAGCTGAAGCAAATTCTCACATTCATTTTCACAGACCTTACTGATGGTTACAATCCCAAAATAGTGATGTGACACAGAACAGTATCATTACAACTAGGCTTCCTAAAGCATCTATCAGAATCCCTAGATCCTATGGAGAAAAAAAACAAAAAAAAACAAAAAAAAACCAAAAAAAAAACCAAAAAACCCCCACAACACAAAGCATCCTACACCAAAACCAACACCACCATCCAACACCCAAACACTGTTCTCCTGTATGATGTGGCATTCTGAACATGCTACAATGAAGCCACAATGTAGAGGTCATACTAAGTGTTGGCAGCTGAACTGGTAAAGTGCAGATAGAAATCAGACTTTTCCAAACTTTGATTAGTAATACTATTTAGTTCAGAACAGCATCCTGTTATCACACTTTTCAAAATGCAGCACAAATAAACAACTTTGATACACAAACAACAGCTTATTATGTAGATTTTCCTTTTGGAACTATAATATATTCTATTCTCCAATGAGGTACTCTCTTTCTAGATGAGGAATTACATCCTCCAGATCTATTCAGCTTTTCATAGAAGTCTTGAAAGCACTTGAAAGACCTCTGTCTGACCTCCATGGGATAGACTTATTTGATCCTTTTCTGAACTAACATGTTGCCTACTGCAACAGCAATAATTTAGATTTTAATTTTCATTTCTTTTATAGTTATCTCCTAGTCACTAAAAATCATAGATGCCTTTTCAATTCTGGATCACAAAAAATTCAAATACAGTAAAGAAAATAATAGCTGAAACTTTTCACACAGCTAGGGAGAATCGTGTAGTGAAACATGTTCTGTCTGTAATGCTGATCCATATTGAGACTTCTGTCAAATCACAGTGCTTCACTGTGTGATCTCTGCTTACTTATCCTAGGCCTTCAAAGACCAGATAACAGCAAGTAACTGTTAGCCACGAAAATAAAATAAGATCCTTCCAATGTTTTAGAAAAACAACTCCAATTTTATTCTGGAGCTGCACATATTGTAGGAATATTGCGACTGTGTGTTAGTTTATTGAAGTAATATATGTTTTTTAATATAGTGTCTGGATGCTAGAATGCTTTATAATCTATTCATAAACTTGATAAGCAGTTTTTGCTTACCCTTCTCCAGTGGCACTTCTTGCAAGGATAGTCACTTCGGATGTATAATTTACACTGATCTCCTGACAGCGTTCAGTAAGCAAAGTAATTTCGTGACATATAAAACACTAAATGCCTAATACAGATTGTATCACTTCCTACTAGACTGCAAAAAAGCTCACTTTTATCTTCACATGACTTAAATGAAAGCAAAAAGGTGTGTCTTAATTGAGGGAACCATAACAACCATTTCAGAGTGATGAACGTCAAAAGAGACTGTCAAGAAGGGGCTGTTAGAAAATGCCTTGCGAATCCAAGTCAATTCTGCTTTGTTTTTTTTTTGTTTGTTTGGTTGGTTTTTTTGTTTGTTTGTTTGTTTTTAATATCCAGAAAGAGCTAGAGTAGGGTCAACTCTAAAGTAAAAGCATTTCAATATGCACCCTTCAGAATTTACTTCTTGCTTAGCCTTCAGCTGGAGGTTCTCTACCTCACATTCATTTTGTTTTCAAAACAAACATTATTGCAGGATTTCTGATAAACACTACACACACAAAAAGGAGAAGAATTAAGTCATTCTAAGGCAACAAGAGATCCCAGTATAAACTATCTCACTGAACTTACTGACCAACTCAAGCACGTGCCAGCTACATTCGTGCAAGTTATATTATCAGTCAATTTAAATGGCTGCTTCAGCTCCAATGAAATAGCCTCCTCAGATGTGGTGTTCAGCCAAGAGTGTTATTTAGTTATTTGAAAGTGTTTCATACTTGGCCTCTCGTTAAAAATTAACAGAAGAATCAGATAAATATACAAAAGCCCAGTTGGAAAAAAAAAAAAAAAAAAAAAAAGCTTCATGTGGACATAGATTTACCCACTAGGGCAAACAAATGTCACTCTGAATTTATGCAGAACCAAAGTTCTGTTTAAACGACGACATAAAAACCAAAACACTTCAAATTGTACGTGCTAGGAGACAAATCAGACAAACAGGATATCATTTAACCAGTATTTAAGATTGCCACTGAAAGATGCCAAGTATGTAACTCCTTATCCAATAGAAAAATCTGAATACATCATTAAAATTTGCACCACAATCTACTTAAACTAGGTTAGGTAAATGATCAAGTGATCTGATACCATAAAGCCATACCCTGTGTTTAACTCAATAACATCAGAAGTCCATTTGACAGAAACATCTACAGTTCTCCACAACTCTTGGTGCCTAAGCTGAAAATAGTGATTTAATACCTGAGGGACTCTGTGCAACAGAAGGAGTGGAAGCTGAGCTTGCAGCCACTGAATCACAGCGCCCTGTACTCCCACTGCCACTGGACGGCGATGGTGACGAGAGTGGTGATGGATGGTGCTGATTTATACACTGGGCTACAGCAAAGCCTGCAAGAAAGGACAAGAAAGTTTACCCATAAGTAATTAGCTTGTCAAAGTTCACCTACAGGAACAAATCAAGAAACACTAACAGAGAATACTGCATCAGAGTGATATTAATTCCATCAGGTGACTCAGAGGATGTACTCTCTCTCATCCTCATCTCAGGTGTCTGAAAATCTGAATGCATCTTACTCAGAACATTGATGCTACATGTGAGTGCAGATCAGTGAACAAGGATATAGAGGTTAGATGATGCAAAATATTATAAAACAGAGCTTGTGCAAACAGTCTAAACATGTCAGTTTGGGGTATATACAACGGTTGTACTCCTTAACATAAGGAAAATGATCAGTTAAAAGTGAACAAAAACAGCCTCTGCAACCTTTCTTACTGCAGTAAGAAGAAATTCACAAAAGATGTGAAGGTCAAGGTCTCAGAAATCCAACATGAGAGCCAAGATGAGAAGAGTACACGGAATCTATATTGCACACTCACTGCACAATACTATACTGAACCAAAAGTAAACAAGTTATTCAATGCATGCTGTGTAAAAGAATTTGCACAGAACTATGCAATGAACCAAAAGATGACAGAAATTTACACTTTTGGTTATCAGAGAACATTCTATGACAATCAGACATATTCTACTAGAAAATGCCCCCAAAGACATCTCCTGTAAATCCTATAGCACTGCAAACATCTGCTGAACACTTGGTAGCAGTAAGGAACTATAAGATCTTCCTTTTAAAGGTGAGAAGTATTATATCATAACTTCATAGAAAACAAGCTATATTAAAAACTGTTGACATTAACAAATTATAATCCTTATTTTTAATAGCTGTGACTCCAGATACGTCAACAACGCTTATCGGACTTCGGCACTCACAATTAAGGAAGATCTAACGACAAATGATGCTTCTTGCATAAAAATTCAATTTGATCCCTTGAAAGAAACCAGCTCTCAGCATCCCACCCAATTACAGCCCTCTGTGGAGCACACTGCAACATCTCCCTCCATAAATGAACACTCATGCTTTCTGTCTGGAAATGAACTGATCAGAGTAATCAGAGGGCAATGAAAACAGCATTCTCCCCTCATTCTCAGGTATTAAACACTTCCTTTTTTCTCTTATAGTGAAAATTCACAGAAAATTCTATTTTAAAGGTTCCTAATGTAAAAAGATCTATGTTGTATGCCTACACATCACATTATGACGCCCATTATAATCTTGCCACCAAACAGCAGCTAAAGACACAGCTATAAAGACATAGCAGATACAGCAGAATGACCTTCTTAGGCTCTCATATTACTTTATTTTAAAAAAGAATACATTTAAGTGTCTTCTCAAAACTGCAACTCAGATTCCCATCAAGTCATGTATGGTGCTTTCCAACATTCATGCTGTACAATCTAACAATTTCTGTCCTGCTCTGCTAAGTGGTAACAGCCAGTTTTCAGGAATGTTTGTAATTCTAAAAACAACAGCTAAAGAAATCCCCAGAATACTGTTAGTTTCTGAGAAATCCAGAGCAGGAAGCGATCTGCAGAGTACGGGCTGCAGCGTTCAACTGTGAAGAAAACAGGAAAACTTCATGCAAGAAGTCTTTGCATCAAGGCTACAAAGCAGAACATGGAATTTAATATAGATCATCACCTAATCCTGCTTCTCTACAGAATATGAGATGTCAGATCAGCATAAATAACACATAGTTGTTAACGAACATTGAGAACCTGCAGCGCTTTCACAGCAGGCTACAGGAATTTGCCCTTCAAGGCATGTTACAATCAATAGTCATTTTCTAATTCTTATTTTTTTCAAAAGGAACCTGCCTAGGATTCAGCATTCGTTCTGCAGCATTCTGTATTTGTGAAAACAAACAAAATACACTTTAAATCATTATGAGTAGTCACTGTAGCTTCATAAATTAGGAGAGTGTGTGCCACCAGACTTGCATAGCCTGATAATCTTATTTGCCTTTAAGGTGCTCCTATAGCAACAGGCCAAAAAAAGTCTCTAATTTATTCCACGGGCTTCTTCACCCAGCCCGCAGCTCCCCCAACTACCTAGAAATTGCTTAGAGCACCCAAATAGATGTTATTAGTCAAAGAACAGTAATTGATCTAATTACTGATTTGATAGTTGCCAGTTTGGGTAGAAATTGCAGAATGTAATTTTAATGTTCTTCACTATTTTTAGCGTGTCTTCGAAAATTAATGTCCAAAACCTCTACCCCATAGCACAACCTGCTTCCATTGGGAGAGCCTCAAAGACAACCAGAGGCAACATACAGCTACAGACAGTAACATGAAGAGAGCTGACTGGAATTCACCACTGCTTGAACTGTGCTTTGGCTATTCCACAGAGAAACAAAATATCAGCCTTACAGACAAATTATTCATATTTTCAGGCAAGTTTTATAAGACACTGATCAAGATTTTCCACTTTGTTTCAGTACAAGAGGTTCTTTAGGAATGATTTCCTCATCTGTCACTAACTGTTCCAACAGAAACAGTCCTGAAAACAACAGTTCCTTCCCCACTGTAACACAGCGATAACTATTTCCTATGCAAAAGCCAAATTGCACCTCAGGCACAGGTAACAACACTGGCTGGAGGCACCAAAGCCTCAGCAAGCAGGGTTTTTTTTGGGTTTTTTTTTTTTTTTGCTTGGCTACCAAATAGAACAAGCAGAGATGGGCTCACAGCTGGTTCACAGGACTTGAGACACCCATCCTCACCCAGACAGGCTGGACAAATGACACAGAACTCAGCTTCATGGCACCCTTCTATAGGGTAAAGCATAACTTGGACACAAATATAAAGCTTTCTTTCCCATTTCATTTCCTGCAGGACTAAAATCATTTATATTGTATGGAAGAACTGTAGTGCATTAGCAATGTGTCTGGTTGACGTGGTTTACTTGTGACAATTTCAAATTATCACTACATTTTAGGTATTCAAAGTTTATACATGTGGAAGGCTTTGTTTATGCTGAGCTGAAATCTGTCAAAGATAAGAGAGTCTTTGGAAGAGTTCAGACACTCTACAATACGATCTTTTAAGAACACACTGTATTTGAGGAGAGAAGCTTGCAGCTGGGGACTGCAAGCAAAGAAAAACCCAAAAAGTTAATCCCACTTGTTTCCAAAGCACAGAACTTCAAAGTTACTTTATTTCCTTAAGACATCATGTTCAGTTACATATGACAGATGTTTCTGTTTGCCATTTGAAGTTATTGCATTTTCCAGTGCTTATTAAAACCACCTTGAAGCTTATGTTCCTATTTACAAGACAATGAGCTTGTTTCTGCAGGGACAGAATTAAGTAAGTGTGCTCTGGCTTATAGCAGACTTTGAAGAAAGAGCATTCAGTTCTTGTGTCAACCTCTTGCAGCGATTTACCAGAAAAATACTGCTTTACAAAACGACAGAAGGTTGAGGATTGACAAAAAGATTTGCTTTCACAGTGAGAATACTCCAGTTCTGACAAACTTCAAGAAGCACTTCATGCACTTGGTTGATCGCTATATGTTAAAGACTCGAGGTTTGCAACAGCCTCCAAACTGTGATCAGATGTCTAAACAAGTGTGGATATCTAACATGAGAGAAAAACCAGTGAGTTGCCCTTTACTGTGCCTCTCAATTAGCATTTTTTCCCCTTCAATCTGATTTTTCAGCTGAATTTTTAAGTTAAGTGTTTTCATAGTTTTGCTATTACAGTAGTAAATTATTTCACCTCAAATGGCACCTGTATCATAAAAATCTAGACGAACCAAAATGTTTATTATCTGCTTAGAATACCATGAAATTACCTCCTAGAATTTTAATACACTCTTGAGCACAGTTCATGAATTGCCTGTCCTGCACAGTTCCAGTGATGACAAATACCACTGTACTGCTCACACTTTCCTCATTTCATATTTTCCTTAGAAGATCATACTCTTGTTGTGGTTCCTTAAGCAACATTCTGCTTAACAACGTGCCCATAGGGATCCCTCGATTTTCTCACTGAGACTTTCCTTAGGCTGAGTCCTCCTAGAAGACAGAAGCTTTTACTCATTGCTTCAGACTTTGATAACAGCTCTTCAACAGCACATCTTTCCTTCAGTATGAGTTGCATCCACAACTGTTAGTTGCTTCCAATGCTTTCCTCACTCTCCCATGGAAAGTATGAATGGCAAATTTTCCCTTTCATTGGCAGTCTGCTGAATTATTTACTGTTGCCATCACACGAATGCCACGAATTACCTAACAACGCACTACTACTTGCTGTCTTTGCTGTGTAGCAAACACTGAAAACGCAAATGCACCAAGTAATACTTTATTCTTCTTTGAAATGGGCAATCTGCCATGGCACTGGATGGATGATTCACTCTTTATAGAGAATCATCTGTACGGGGAATTTGCCAACGCCTTGCAGCAGACAATCAATCTCCATGTTAAATCCCATTTAAATATAAAAAAAAGATTACAAGAAGCATATGAAAGCTATAAAGTACAGATATGAGAAGTTCGGAAAATGCTTTTAACAGCAACACATACTGTCAGTCTGCAATACAAGGAAAAAAGCCAAAATAGATGAAAAAAGGAAGGCACACAGACAAAAGGTGATAAACCATAGTTGTGCCAATAACTGAGCTTCATGTGTGGTCCTACCTCTTACCCTGTACTGCCCATGCTTACAGTCAGGACCCAGACTCAAAACCCCCTGCAGAAACACAGTGCTATGTGAACGGCTGTAGTACTTGCATCATAATTTTAGATGGGTGAATGACACTTCACCAAGCTTTTGTCCTACTTTAACTTACTACTCATCACATCCAAGATAAACACTACTTGAAAGAATTACAGAACAGCTGTGCCAGGAGGCACCTGCTTTAGTTAAGATAGTTAAGATAGTTTGGTAAGGATCTCTTCATTCCATTAATATACATAATTTTCTTTATTTTCAGAAACCAAGTTGATCGATGCTCTACAATCTTTTAGCTAAGTTATACTGAGGTTAC